GGTTCACAGACGTGTTGGCTCAGGATGTGGGGAGAAGCCAAGGATGGGCTTCTTATGCCCTACAGCTCTGCCCAGCGAGAAGCAGAGTGAGGAAAGGGAGTTCCAGTAGGCAGAAAGAGGTTAATGGGGTGGATGTGGTCTTCTACCTTGTGTCAAAAGATAAATTCTCCATGGTCAGGACACATGGGTAGATTACACATAGACATACTGTCAACTGCATATACAGTAGTTGGGGTGATCAGGCTGGGGCCATCTGGTAAAGAAGCATGTGAATGCACTCATGGAAAAGGGACACAAAGCAGAAAGATCATTGTAAGGCATACTAGCTCCCAGGTACCATCTTCCCCAAAGGTGCCACGAGCCACAAGCCACTGGCTAATGTGTTGGCTAGATGATTGCTTAGATTTCAGATTATTTTATACCACATCAGAGAAAACTTCCTTGACTACCTTAGCTAACGTCTTTCCCTCAGTACTCTATCATATCTTGTTTTATTTTGTTTATTGCACTTAAATAAAATAATTTTATTTGTTGCATATTGTCTATAAGTTTCCAACTAGTAGAGGAGAGACATCTTTTTTTTGCACACCCCTTTACTCTCTTTGTGGGAAATATTTCTGACAGAGTGTGCATTCAGGACATACTGAGTAAAAGAATAGGGCCAGAAAGATTAGGTAACTTGCCTGAGACCATACATCTAATAACCATTATAGCTGAGATTTTAGTGCTGTCTTTGTGCTTTAGGAGAAGATAACATATGTGCCTTAGTTTCTTAATCTACATATAAGGGTGACACTGGTATCTACATTTGAGTTGTTATGAGGATAAAGGGATTTAATATATGCAGATTATCCTCAATCTAAGATGGTTCAACTTAATGATTTTCAGATTTTACAACTATGCAAAAGTAATATCCATTCAGTGGAAACTATGCTTTGAATTTTGATCTTTTCCCATGCTAGCAAGATACCCAATATGGTGCCCTATCGCAATTCTGGGCAGACATAGCAGGCTCCATTTCCTTGTATGCCACACGATCATGAGGGTAAACAACTGACCCTCTCTAGTGGGTTGTGTTGCTCAGGTGTAGTGTTCTCTGGGCTAGGTTTAGTAAATGTATTTTTGACTCAGGATACTTTCAGTTTACAATGGGTGTTATTTCTGGATACAACCTGATAATGTGTCGAGGAGTATCTGTAAAAGTGTTTAGAATAGAGTTTTATAT